TTGCTAAATTATTAAGAAGAATAAAATTTACTAAATAAATTGTGGGCATAAAGGTGTGAATGTGTCTTTAGTCTGTTAGCCTTACTTCATAGGGTGGTTTGTACTCCACCTCTTGTCCTATGGTAGCTGGGATAGGTTCCAGTGGAAGAGAGTGGATGGATGAATGGATGAATAAATATTAATGTAAATTCAGCAAAATTTCCATGTAAAATATAATATTGTACTATAGAGAGAACAGGAAGCAACCACATAGGAAAGATGCAGTTCTGCGTTCTTGCATTATAACGTTCATTATGTTTCACTGAGGCAGTAAAAAGTCAGCAACCACCCAGATACAAAGGTAAAGGTATACTTAAATATTTGATTCATCTGTAAAATAAATTTCACTTTTTAAACTTTCAAGCATTAACAATAAAAAAAGAAGAATGCTGATTCTATTTATTTCCCCGTATGTCACAACCAGTGCAAATATTTGAATTTGAAATCGGAGTTATCCAGTCCAAGTCAAATTTCCTGGTGTGGACCATATCGTGAGGTGGATTAGTGAGTGGATGTGTAGCTCGCTCCTAGCAGTTTGATGTAACTCATGATGGTCACCCCACTCCTGAATCCATATCCACATCCATTCTTTGTGATTAGCTGAGGAGGTTGAGGCCTATGCAAACAGCAGTGGGAACAGAATATTCTGGTATATTCTTGTGAGCTCTCTTTGAAGCTGTCCTTCAATGTTATTTTCCACAGTCCCGTTGAGTTTATGATATAAGTATTCAGTATTAGCCTTTACTTTACAGCTCAGGTGGCAGAGCAGAGCACTAATCAGAAGGTCGGTGGTTTGAATGTGTGAATGGGTGAATGACTGAATGTAGGGTAAAGCGCTTTGGGGTCCTTAGGGACTCAGTAAAGCGCTATACAAATGCAGGCCAGGCCATTTACACTGCCAGGCACTCCAATATCCATGTGTGGGGCATTGAGTTGTGGGCTTTCTTGCACTGAGCCGTTGCATTGATAGAGCGGTGAACCAGGACTTTGGAACAGGTTGGTCTGCCTTGTTGGCACTGCTCTGTCAGGCTGGAGCTGGTGTCTTTGACCTTTGCTGTTCTTTTCAATGCATTTCTGTTCATGTGACTGACCTATGTGTCTGCCCAGCTTGTTTGCTACGATGCTTGAGGGGCTTGTTGCAGAGAGGCACATAGGTTAGGTTTGGGGAAACCCTTCTTTCTGATAAAGGCTACAGTTAGGGCAGGATGAGGGAAGGTTAAGGTATTTGTGTTGCTATTGGTTCAGGTGTGGTATGCTGCCGAAATTCTCATTAGGACTGAGGATTTCCCTCGTTTAATTCCCCGTGTGTCTATACGCCACTGTGGCATGTCATTATCTTCGATCTAGTCTCTCCTGTACTTTGTGTTTTGTCATTTTTGTTGTTCATGGTCTCCGACCCTGCAACTGGCAGCTGAGACAGCTGTCATTGTGAACTGACCCTCTATGAATGACAA